GACAACATGTCCAAAGTGTGTAAGACGTAGTCTTACCTCCTTGCTTCTAAGGAGCATTCTGGTTGTACTTCTTCCAAGACAGATTTGTTCATTCATTCTTTTGGCAGTCCATGGTATATTCAGTATTCTTTGCCAACACCACAATTCAAAGGCGTCAGTTCTTCTTTGGTCTTCCTTATTGATTGCCCAGCCTTGCATGCATATGATGCGATTGAAAATACCATGGCTTGGGTCAGGCGCACATTAGTCTTCAAGGTGACTTCTTTGCTTTTCAACACTTTAAAGAGGTCTTTTGCAGCAGATTTGCCCAATGCAATGTGTCTTTTCATTTCCTGACTGCTGCTTCCATGGTTGTTGATTGTGGATCCAAGTAGAATGAAATCCTTGACAACTTCAATCTTTTCTCCGTTTATCATGAAGTTGCTTATTGGTCCACTTGTGAGGATTTTTGTTTTCTTTATGTAGAGGTGTAATCCATACCGAAGGCTGTGGTCTTTTGATCTTCACCAGTAAGTGCTTCAAGTCCTCTTCACTTTCAGCAAGCAAGGTTGTGTTATCTGCATATTGCAGGTTGTTAATGAATCTTTCTCCAATCCTGATGCCCCTTTCTTCTTCATATAGCCCAGCTTCTCGGATTATTTGCTCAGCATACAGATTGAATAGGTATGGTGAAAGGATGCAATCCTGACGTACACTTTTCCTGACTTTGAACCACGCAGTATCCCCTTGTTCTGTCTGAACACCTGCTTCTTGATCTGTGTACAGGTTCCTCATGAGCACAATTAAGTGTTCTGGAATTCCCATCCTTCTCGGTGTTATCCATAATTTGTTATGATCCTCACAATCGAGTGCCTTTGCATAGTCAATAAAACACAGGTAAACATCTTTCTGGTATTCTCTGCTTTCAGCCAGGATCCATCTGACATCAGCAATGATAGCCATGATTCCACGTCATCTTCTGAATCTGGCCGGAATTTCTGGCAGTTCCCTGTCAGTATACTGCTGCAGCTGCTTTTGAATGATCTTCAGCAAAATGTTACTTGCATGTGATATTAATGATGCTGTTTGATAATTTCCACTTTCAGTTGGATCACCTTTCTTGGGAATAGGCGTAAATATGGATCTCTTCCAGTCAGTTGTCCAGGTAGCTGTCTTCCAAATTTCTTGGCATAGATGAGTGAGCACTTCCAGTGCTGCATCCATTTGTTGAAACATCCCAGTTGATATTCGTCAATTCCTGGAGCCTTGGTTTTCACCAATGCCTTCAGTGCAGCTTGGACTTCTTCCTTCAGTACCATCAGTTCCTGATCATATGCTACCTCTTGAAATGGTTGAACGTCGACCAATTCTTTTTGGTATAATGATTCTGTGTATTCCTTCCATCTTCTTTTGATGCTTCCTGCGTCATTTACTATTTTCCGCATAGAATCCTTCACTATTGCAACTCGAGGCTTGAATTTTTTCTTCAGTTCTTTCAGATTGAGGAGTGCCGAGCGTGTTCTTCCCTTTTGGTTTTCTATCTCCAGCTCTTTGTGCATATCATTATAATATTTTACTGTGTCTTTTTAAGCCACCCTTTGAAATCTTCTATTCAGTTCTTTTACTTCATCATTTCTTCCTTTTGCTTTAGCTACTTGACATTGAAGAGCAAGTTTCAGAGTCTCTTCTGACATCCATTTTGGTCTTTTCTTTTTTTCCTGTCTTTTTAATAACCTCTTGCTTTCTTCATGTATGATGTCCTTGATGTCATTCCACAGCTCGTCTGGTCTTCGGTCATTAGTGTTCAAAGCGTCAAACCTATTCTTGAGATGGTCTCTAAATTCAGGTGGGATATACTGAGGGTTGTACTTTGGCTCTCGTGGACTTATTCTAACTTTCTTCAGTTTCAACTTGAACTTGCATATGAGCAATTGATGGTCTGTTCTGCAGTCAGCCCCTAGCCTTGTTCTGATTGATGATACTGAGCTTTTCCATCACCTCTTTCCACAGATGTAGTTGATTTGATTCCTGTGTATTCCATCCGGCAAGGTCCATGTGTATAGTCGCCGTTTATGTTGGTGAAAAAAGGTATTTGCAATGAAGAAGTCATTGGTCTTGTAAAATTCTATCATGCGATCTCCGACATCATTTCTCTCACCAAGGCCATATTTTCCAACTACCAATCCTTCTTTGTTTCCAACTTTCACATTCCAATTACCAGTAATTATCAGTGCATCCTGATAACATTTCAATCAATTTCAGACTGAAGAAGTTGGTAAAAATCTTCAGTTTCTCCATCTTTGGCCTTAGTGGTTGGTGCGTAAATTTGAATAACAATCATATTAACTGGTCTTCTTGTGGGTGTATGGATATTATCCTATCACTGACAGTGTTGTACTTCAGGATAGATCTTGAAATGTTCTTTTTGATGATGAATGCAACTCCATTCCTCTTCAAGGTGTCATTCCCGGCATAGTATACCATATGGTTGTCCGATTCAAAATGGCCAATACCAGTCCATTTCAGCTCACTAATGCCTAGGATATCGATGTTTATGCGTTCCATTTCATTTCTGACGATTTCTAATTTTCCTAGATTCATACTTCGTACATTCCTTGTTCTGATTATTAATGGATGTTTGCAGCTATTTCTTCTCATTTTGAGTCGTGCCATGTCAGCAAATGAAGGTTGCGAAAGCTTGGCTCCATCCACGTCATTAGGGTCGACTCTACTTTGAGGAGGGAGCTCTTCCCCACATGTCTTTTGAGTGCCTTCCAACCTGAGGGGCTCATCTTCTGGCCCGATATCAGACAGTATTCTGCTGTTATTTTCATAAGGGTTTCACTGGCTAATTCTTTTCAGAAGTAGACTGCCGGGTCCTTCTTCCTAGTCTGACTTAGTCTGGAAGCTCAGCTGAAACCTGTCCGCCATTGGTGACCATGCTGGTATCTGAGTACTGGTGGCATAGGTTCCAGCATCATAGCAACACATAAGCCCCCACAGTATGACAAACTGACAGACACGTGGGGGCTGTAAATATTACAGCTTTGGAAACCCTATGGGGCAGTTCCACTTTGTCCTATAGGGTCTCTATGAGTTGGAATTGACTTGATGGCAATGGGTTTGGTTTTTTTTTTTTAGCTTAATCCATGACCACGTTCTTTTTAGGAAGAGTTACCCATTCATGAAAGTGATTTCTTGCTAGTTTTTCATACAAAGAACTATTAAGACCATTTTTTAACCAGCATATCTGTTGATATGATTAAAGGGAATGTTATTCTACTTGGCATGTTACAGTAGCACGCAATAGATTTTAAATCAGAAAACCTGGTTTTTGACCTTTTTCCCATTTACCAGTTATGTGTCCTTGTGTAAAATACAAAATGACTGTTACTAGTTTTCTAATATATAAAATCACATGAGCCTCTTTTTTTGATATAAATAAGAATATATATGAAAGTATCTTATAAATAATAATGTAAATTATTCCCATTATTATCACTCTTGTAAATTAAAAAATTTCATTGAACTACATATTCAGGTTGTGCTTCTGCTCTAGGGAACAAAATGGTATTTTATATTTTGGTTTAACTGAGGGTGATCAGGCTTGAACCCAGTGCTGAGTTCCTTTTTCTCACTTTCTCGTACATTCCACAATATACAAGAAATGAAATAATTGTTTGTTATTTTTAATTAATTCTTAAAACAATTTAGTTTATTTTTTGTTGTTATTGAGAATATACACAGCAGGACATACACCAATTCAACAGTTTCTTCACGTACAATTCATTAACACTGATTACATTTTTCAAGTTGTGCAACCATTCTCACCCTCCTTTTCTGAGTTGTTCCTCCACCATTAACATAAATTCACTGCCCCCTAAGTCTCCTGTCTAATCTTTCAAGTTGCTGTTGTCAGTTTGATCCCATGCAGATAGATCTTAAAAGAACACAATGCTCAAGGCAGACATTCTTTACTAGTTAAGCTAAATTATTATTTGGTTTTAAGAAGACTTTAGGGAATATTTTTGGCTTAAGGTTTAAGGTTTAAAGATCATCTGAGGACAGTAGTTTCAGGGGTTCATCCAGCCACTATGGCTTCAGAAAGTCTAGATTCCATGAGAATTTTAAATTCTGTTTTACCCCTTTTGATCAGGATTCGTCTATAGAATCTTTGATCAGAATGTACAGTAATGGTAACCGGGCACCATCTAGTTCTTCTGGTCTCATGGAAAATGAAATAATTATTTGTATCATCTCTTGAGGAACTTGTAATTTTTTTTTTTATTTCTTAAGAAAAATGCAGCAAACTTTGTGGTGTATTTTGTTTTATCAGCATCAAAGGAAACAAGCATGTAAACTACTTAAAGATTTTATGTACCACATGAAGAGACTTATATTCATTTCCAGTGTCACAGTATGAAAAATAATTCTGTTTCTGGACATAATGAAATCCTAATGCCAGATAAATAGAAGAAGTTGTGGGTATGGCCTTTCCACTTCAGGTTGCAGCTTTCCAAATTGGTGAATACTCAGATGGAAGAACTCTAGGGGATTTCCAAGAGCCATCGGAAGTGATGGGTGACTTGGAAAGCTGTGGTCCTCCCTTAAATCCAGACTGAACTGAGTCGTAATTATAACTTCAGGTTCAACATGGTCTTTATAGATCTCATCTCCATGATGAACCAGATGTCTCCCATGATGGCAATTTGGGCTTTATAATTCCATGAGGCATTTTGTAGGAGATGAGATGCCACTTTGGCATTACCATGAGATCTGCATCTGGTTAATTACAAACTGCCTTTCTAGATCCCAAATGAATGTCTGTAGCTTCCCTTGATTTTTGAAAGCCACCTGTCTTGGTGTAGGATTACCAACATCCTGAGGAGGTAGATTAAAGGGGTCCATGTCTTTAAGTTCTATGCATTTAGCCTTTTGTGATTAAAATGACTATTATATTATCTTGTATTACCTTCCTCTAGTAAACATGTTCGTCTTCTTCTTCTTTTTTTTTTAAATAGCATGTCAGTGGAAAAACCGGTGGATCACCTTCTAAACCAGAAGAAAAGAAAGGAGCAGATGAGGTAATTTTAACAATACTGGGTTTTCATTTTTTCTTGCTTTTAAGTTGTGAATTCTATGTTGAAACATTAAATAATGAGATAGCAGAGAGCTCCTACTAGAATACTTGCAAATTTAGTTTTAACTAAAATTTGATTCAGAAACATAAGTGGAAATCATTAAAAATAAATAAAAATGAAGAGCTCCTGGGAAAGGAACTTTTAGGAATAGTTTCTATTTAGAAACAGAACTCAGTTATTTAGAGTGTCTTCCCGATAGGAGTCAATGAATCTTAGTTATTTTGTTGGTGAATGTAGTGGATTTAGAAGGGGAAATCGAATGCTATAGTAGAAAGATCTTTCTTCATGAATGTGCACCATGAATGGAGGACAAAGATGGCCTAGATTAACCAGTCATTCAGGTTGATAAACAAAGGGAAAAGAGAAAGAACTATTTTTATTTGGATCAAATTCAGTGGAAATCCTAGTCAAACAAAATCTGCCCACTTTGAGATGGGTTTTCTTTGAGCTCGTGAATTTTTCCTATCACTGAATGATGTACCATTATGGGCACCATCAACACTGGCCTATTCTTTAGGGAAGGGTCATGGAAAGTGCTGTCCTTCGTAGGGATACTGGACCTGCCTTCCTTTGGCTACTTTTTACATTTGAAATCTCAATAGATATATTCATCTTTACTCAATAGAAATTCAGTTAAATAGAAAGTGTGTCTTTTCCAACTTTTAAAGCTCATAGAGCTAGGTTCTAAAAGGTATGTGGAAATTTAGAAAAACTAAAGTGATCATTTTATTTTTCTCTGTATCGTCTACATTCAATAAGTGTCTTCAGAAATGTAGTTCCTCTGCCTGCTAATTTCTGCATTTTCAAAATATTCAAAATATAAAGAGGCAGTTATGGCTAGAACATGCAACATGTTCT